ACAGTTCTTTGTGGGTTTTCTGCTTCTTTCTGTTTCTACCTGATTTGGGAGTTTCCAGCCTCGTGAGCTGAGACCGTTTTTGCATTAAGTCTCACAACTGGAATGTAGTTAATTGGTTCCTAATCTGTTACATTGGTAGGTGATAATGCATAATGTCCACGCTGGTAGTATGTCCCATTAAATCCCATTTGCCTCTCAGTAGGTTTCCTCAGTGGCTTCTGTGACAGGTGCACTGCTCACTGGTGGTTCAGGTGCCAAACTTGATTTCCACTGCTGCCCATTGGGGCTTCTGGCCATCAGAGCTGGAGGTGTGATAGCAGTGGTAGTGTGGGCTCCATTTTACACATGCATTTGGGGAGTAAGCCTCGTCCTTTATTGTTGGGACACAATTCTGGGGTTTTGCAGCCAGTTAGAAACAAGCATTGGTAAGCTGATCGTGCATGGATAGTTAAGCCACAAACTGAGCAATGTTTTCCTTTTCCCTCCCCAGCATTGACAAGATATCTAAAGTCACCTCTCCTGTGCTGGTGATCCATGGTACCGAAGATGAGGTGATCGATTTCTCCCACGGCCTGGCGATGTACGAGCGATGTCCACGGGCAGTAGAGCCACTCTGGGTGGAAGGGGCTGGGCATAACGACATAGAGCTTTATGCACAGTATCTAGAGAGACTAAAACAGTTCATATCTCACGAACTTCCCAACTCCTGAAGAAGCCAACCTGATTTTACCTCAGTTACTGTGAACGGAAGAAATTACCTGGTTTTGCACATGCTTTAACTGGATAGCTGTCATAGCTTTATACTATGAAGAAATACCCTGTCTTTAGGGTGTTCTAATCAAACATCTGATGAAATTTGTCTTTTATATCTGGAAACTATTCTACTAATGCACACAATATGGTCAACTACTGTAATTCCAACAATTTTTAGCTTCGTTGCCCTGAAAGAAGTGGGGATACTAGCTGCTTATGGGGACACTTTTTACCTAGTGCTGTACTAATTGAAGATCGGTTTTCTCTGTCTCACTTCTTCTGATCTTTTCTAATTTTGTCCTACAAAAACTTTTTTTTTTTTTTTTTTCCAATGTTCTCAGTATGTGGAACACAACTGTTATGAGCTACAGCTTGTTCTAAACCATCGGCCGTGGGTTCAACCTAAGGGAGTACTTTCTTTGTCAAGTTTCTAGCTGTGGTATTGTAACTGGAAAGTTATTGTGATGAAGTCCCCCCCACCTCCCTTTTAGTGTTCTTTTGTTAACTTACTGATCTTCCCAAGTAAATTATTGAAATATACTTTCTCCTGATGATAAACAAACTACTATATGGGGCTAAACTCTGTAATGACTTCTCCATTACTTGTATAAACGTAACTGGAATATTCTCAAATGAACTACGGACAAAATTGCTCTTGTTTAAAAATAAATGTGTAAATTTACTACTAGAAGACTCATTTTAATATTCAGATGGTCTGAATAATAGCCATAACAGACATTTCCTTCTGTAAAGCATTCCTGTAGACTTTTTAAAAGTACTGTACATATTTGAATTTACATTGTGCATAGATTCTTAATTGGTAGTTTTAAGTTAAGTCTAGCTACAATAAACTGCAAAATTCCGGTTTGTATATGATTGAATACATTTTGTTAAAATATGTTTTTATCCCTATATTATTTTGCTATTAAAGTTTTATAAAGTTTCCAGGACAAAAAAAAAAAAAAAAAGAAAAAAATTTACACATTTATGTTTTGAAGAATTTATGTAACTAAATTTTCATTGAGCTGATCTTTTTAGTTCAGGAGTGATTTGATTCTCTGACACTGGAATCGCACAGATTATGCATCAGAAATGCAAAACACAGTTGTTACACTACTAGCATAGGTCTAATTTTTCCAAATGTTAAGGCCTTAAATGTACTGTAAGCCTCAGATTGTTGTACAAATTGATCGCGGTTGATTGCAGTTTGTGTCCTGTTGCTGGAATGCAACACAGTGATTGTAATGGAATAAAGGATGCATGGATTAGATCTAGCTGCATTATTGAATCTTATTTGGAGCATTGTTTTCCCACTGCAAGAAAAGGCAAAGAATCATGTTATTGAATTCCTTCCTTCCAGGAAAACTATCCTGAATGGAAAGCCTTGTTTCCTTGCAGCTTGGTATATAAATCAAATGTTGAAGAGATTACTTTTAAATGGCATCTGGTTGTTCTTTAAATAACAGATAAGCACATGATAGGACAAGGGGGAATGGTTTTACACTGAGATGGGGAGGTTTAGGTTAGATGTTAGGAGGAAGTTTTCACACAGAGGGTGGTGATGCACTGAACAGGTTGCCCAAGGAGGTTGCAGATGCTCCATCCCTGGAGGCATTCAAGGCCAGGCTGGATGTGGCTCTGGGCAGCCTGGTCTGTTGTTGGTGACCCTGAACATAGCAGGGGGTTGAGAGTAGATGATTATTGTGGTCCTTTTCAACCCAGACCATTCTATAATTCTGTGCTGTGGCCCAGAAGAAAAGTTTGAAGTTGTTGTGAGACCTTGTGACAGACCTGCAGTGGATGGTCAGCACTGCAGGTGTGTCTGTAGTCGTTGAAGCTGCCTTGGTGCTATTACTTTCAAAGGAAAGAAAAAGGTATTTTCACTCAGTGGTGTGGGGAGTAGGGGGAAATGATGGCACTCACCTGTGTGCAGTCAGTTGGGCTCTTACTATGGGGCTTGCAACTGTGTGGTTCAGGCTGAGTATTAAATGCCCCAGTGGTGCATCAGTGGTGCTCTGGGCTTCTTCCCTCTAAATCGGTGATCTGTTCACCTGTTGGGTCCCTTAAACCATTTTCCTTGCAGCTCTGTGTCCACTGAATGCTTCTGAGGTGAGTTGTGATGTTTTTAATGTTTCCTGGCAAGTCCCGTAAAGAAAATAAATAGTAGTGGCCTTCTTTATGCTGTATAAACTTTTAGCTTCTCCCCTGTACCAAGGCATCACTGTTTTGGGCATTTCAGAGCCTGCTGCCCATCAGCATTAGGGTTATTAGTTAAAATCTGCAGCCAACTCATGAACTGGTTTACCAGACAGCGGATCTCAGGTCCCCGTTTGCTTAAAGGAATAGGAATTTGAGATGTAGGAAAAAGGGGAAGATGTGAGGTCATGAAAGAGAAACTTTCGGGCTAAAAAAAGTCGTTTGCTGCAGCAAACTGTTAACATGGACTCATTTAAATGCATAACGTGGGCCTTCACGAGAACTTGCTATGCATATTTTAGAGCTGCCGAGGTGTCACTGTGAAGATGGCTGTGTGTGTGCCCGGGTAAATTATGCAACGGGCCTTCCAGGAGTGTAAATAAGTAACATTTTTTTCCACCCCTTCTTCCTGTGTGACCCGCTAACTTTGTTTATACGGCGCAACGGCATCTGCACTCTGACTCTTTTTTTCCAAGGAGGTGAGTTGTGCTCTCCTATCAGGAGCTGCCTGAGGTTTGTACTTCGAAACAGAGCAAAATATTGGTTTCACCTTCAGAGGTTCTGTTTTGCACAGGGTTGGATGTGTATCCTTTGAGGTTTATGTAACTGTTAACTTGTGCTTGCACCGCGATCTCTCACCCCTGTTGCTTCTGCTGTGCTTTTTACCCCAGCTCTGTGTCCTACTGCAGTGTAGGGCAGCTCTGCTCCAGGCACTGACCCATCTGCTATGGAAATACCCAAACCTGTATTTACACGTAGTGTTGTCCATCCCTTTAATAAACCCATATCACATTTGCTTTTACTATCTGGTGTTAAACACAGTAAAGAAACAACCCACTCTTCCCGGGGTTATTCACTGAGCACTAAACCTTTATTCTCATCTGGAAAATCCTTTTCCCCAGTTCTGCTCTCGTAAATTACTGATCTTATTTACGTCCATTTCACAGATTTCTCCATACCCACCCTTTCTTTTTGGTGCAATCCCCCACCATCCGGTGCTGTAATTTGCATTGTGACCGTGGTGGTTTGTCCTGGTGCTGATGAAGAGAATGGTTCTGGTGGTGGATGGGCCAAGCCCCAAATTACCTGCTGCACCTGTATTGCTTTCCAAGTCCTGCAGGACGTCTTCCTCCAAACTGAGTTGGGTTTCAGGCTGAGAGATTGCTTTCAGCTGTGAAATATTTGGGTCTCACAACTTTGTTACAGCAGAGACGAGCTGCTCCTTGGGGCAGCAGTGCTGCTTGTCTCTGCCAGGTGTGAGTTTGCAGAAACCAAAGTATTTCTGCAGAAAACGTTGGAGCAGCATGTGTGGAATCGCTCAGGTTGGATAAAACCTTCAAGATCATCAAGTCCAACTGCAATCTAACCATACTGTGGTGGCATGTTGTCTCTCTCTCTCTCAAAAAAAGAAAAGAAAAGAAAAGAACAGCCCTCACCTCCTCAGGTTGTTCTCCTGTAAGGGTAAACGTGCTGCTTTCAGGATTTCATTGCGCTGTGGGTACGCTGCCCGCCCTGTAGGGCTGCCAGGAGCCGCGGGGTGGGCAGTGCGCGCCCCGTGCCTGCAGCTTCCCCGGGGGCGGCGGGCACAGCTGCGCTGACAGCGGCTGGAGGAGCCTCGGCAGCCACAGAGCGTCCATCCAGCGCGGCTCCGGCAGCCCTACATGCCGCCGGGTGAGCGAGGCAGAACGGCGAGGGGCAGGGAGGGAAGCAGCGGGAGACCGACCCGACTCGACCCAACGCCGCGTGTGTGTTGCAGGTGCCCCCCCCGAGCTGGGGACGGCCGCGGGCCCCCCGAGGAGCTGCACCCTGGTGCTGGTGTTGGTGGCGGTGCTGGGAACCCGACCCGAGGCGGCGAGGAGCGTCCCCAGGCAGCGGCGATACGGTGACGGCCTCCGGGGAGCGGGGGGGTGGGTGGGCAGTGCTGGTGGGGGGAGGAGGAGAGAGGGAGAGGAAGGCGGTGCCGCTCCGGCCCGGGGCTACTCGTACTGCCGTCTGAAGCACGGCTGGGCTGGGGGCTGCCCTAAAGGCGGTGATGGGAGCTGCGTGCAGGACTGGGGCTGCCCCTGCCGGGAGGTGGGTGCGACTGCCGGCACCGACGGCTGCCCGAAGGGAGGGAGCTGGAGGCTGACCGCCCGCCTGGGCTCTGCTGGGCGCCGCGGTTTGCTTGTGGCTTTGGACGTGGCTGCGTGCGATCGGCCTTTCGTTCCCTTTCTCTTTAGTTCCTCGGAGCTTTTTTAGCATCCGAAGTTCTGTTCAATCGAAGTCATGCTTTACGCGGTGCTTTGTTCTCTCGCAATGTCTGGGTTGCTCTGAATGAAGGATGCAAAGTGCTGCAGCCGTTGGGATGCTCCTGAATTACCCGCTGCCATCTGGTCTCAGTGGTCACATCTTGTCGTTTCCCAGTAGTACAGGGTTATGTTTCAGTGATGAATTACAGCCATAAATGTGCACTTTGCTACATAATCCTCTAGCACAGCTGTGTGATATATAACCAATTTGGTAAAAACATGCAAATAATCCCCTGGATGGTAAGCCGCAACTACTTGAGGCTGATAACTCCAATCTTGAAATCAAATAGAAAATATTTGAAGCTTCCCAGCCATGCTGGACCTGTAGGAAATGGAACATTTCATCTGCTGCTCAGCAATGAGTGCGAGCACTGCGGGCACATTCCAGGGCTCAGGGACGTGACCTCCAGCATTCAGTGGTATGTCCTTATGCTAAAGCATTACCTGTTCTAAACTCTGTGGGCAGGATGCATTTCAGCTTCGGGTTCCTCATCCTTTTTCATCAGTAGAGCTTTCATAGATGTTCCTGAGTCTCTAGCAAGGTCGCAGCCTAATGATGCTGAATTTAATTGTTTTATTGGTCACTTCTCAGGGTGTAAATTGAACCTTCAGGCTCAGCCTGGATGGAGGAGTGCTGTGTGGAAGTAGTTACATATTTGCCTCAAAGCAAGCATAAGCTCCACGGAACCCCAAATCTCCTACAGCAATGCTTTTTGTCCATAGGAGGAAGCCACAGCCTAACCCTGTTGCATCAGGGCAATGACTTTGCTCAGCCATTTAGCATTATAGAGAATGTTATAAACATTTTAGAATGCATATAAAGCATTATAGAAAACATTAATTATATACATATTATCCCACTATTATACCTCAAAATCTGCCCATTGCGAATATATTGATTTGACCTGGAGAAGCACACAGTGAGTTTGTCAAAGTGATTCGACAACTTGTGGTGCATCCAGGGACACTGCGAAACATTGATAGGTGTGTGTGTGTGTGTATATATACCCACCAGGATTCTTCATTGCTCACGTGTAATAGCTTTGCTGTATTTATGACTATTTCAGAGCATAACCCGGGTCCCAGCAGCTCGTGGTGGGATGTGGAACATGAAGAACTGCTGCACAGTCAAAGCACCCTGCCTGGAACTGTGGAACCAAACAGACCCAGCCCCTTCCTCCATCCCAATACCAGCAGAAGTTCCCTAAGTCAGAACCTGGGCCAGAAGTCACAAGAGAAGCAGTTGTCCTGTGATGTGCTCCTCAAACTTTCCAGATATATTTCAGTGGATATCTTTGGACCTGGCTTGGCCTGGAACCTCTTTCGGTTGTACAACTGTGATCGTGATGCCAAGCTACCCAAAATACCCAACATGTACGTCAGTCCCCTCAAGATGGTGCGGCACAAGCTGAGGCCTTTCTTGCTGCACAGGATGCTGCGGCTGCTGGGGAACATGGGCGTGCTCACTGAGGGCCAGCAGCACAAGGTCTTCGCTCTGCTCAAGGAGCACATGCTGAAAGCAAGGAAGATACCACCAAAGCCCAAAGCAGAGCACAGTGGTAGGTACTCACAGAGGTGTTTTTTGATCCTGTGTCTTGCACCACTGAGTGAGGTGGGGCTGCTCTGGTTTACAGGCCCCAGAGCTTGTCTGAGCCATGGCCCAGGTTAATAGGTTGTCCAGAAAGGTGGTGGGTGCCCCATCCGTGCAGACACTGCACGTCAGGCTGGTCGGGGCTCTGAGCACCTGATCAGCTGTAGGCGTCCCTGTTCAGTTCAGGGGAGTTGGACCAGATGGCCTTGAAGGGTCCCTTCCAACTCAAATGATTCTGATTCTCTGGCTGGGGCTGAAGGTACTCCAGCGGTGAGATATTAGGAGGGCATTGTGCAGTGGGTCAGTTGTGAGCTGTGTTTGTGCTGTCTGCGAGTGCTAAAAGCCACGCTGTGGTGACATCTCCAGCCCAGTGTGGCTGCCAGGCCCACAGCAGCCTGAGTGCATCCCTGATGCACATGTTTGGAGTGTGCTGCTCCCAGCACCTGGGGTGCAGCTAGGCTAGCACTTCCTGCTTCCTTGTTGAAGTGAAGGATCTGGGGATGCTGGTTTACAGCCAGCTGAACGTGAGCCACCAGTGAGCCCAGGTGGCCAAGAAAGCCAATGGCTTCTAACAGAAATAGTGCAGCCAGCAGGAGCAGGGAGCGGTGTCTGGAGCATGTCCTGTGGGCACTGGTTGAGGGAACAGGGATGGTTCAGTCTGGAGAAGAGGAGGTGCAGAGGAGACCTTATCGCTCCCTACACACCCTGGAAGGAGGTTGTGGTGAGGCAGAGGTCAGCCTCTGCTCCCAGTAACAGCGATAGGATGAGAGGGAGTGGCCTCGTGTTGGATCAGGGGAGGTTCAGGTTGGATATTAGGAAAAATCTCGTCTCCAAAAGAGGGGTGATGCACAGATGCACGGGGGGTGGTGGGGTCACCATCCCTGGAGGTGCTCGAGAACAGTGGGGATGTGGCACTGAGGATGTGGTCAGTGGGCACGGTGGGCTGGGGTGGGGTTGGAACTTAAGCTCTTTTTCAGCCTTAATGATTCTCTGAAGTGCCCTGATGGGTACCGGGGGCTGTCTGTGGAAATGCGTTTGGAAAATACAGAACTAAGGCAGAAAAAAAAAAAACAAAAAACAAAACACAAACAAAAAAAAAACCACAGAGGATGGCAGATGTGCAACGAAGAAGAGGCGCAGGGAAAAACAAATTGAAGAAACGTTGCTAATGTAATGAGGGGGACTGCAGGAGCTGCCTGAGTCACGGGGCCGCGGGGCCGAGCGGCGCCGCGGGGCCGGAGGACGGCGCTGCAGTGAGGGCTGTGCAATGGCGCCCCCTACCGGCCGGCGGTGGAGCAGCGCGGGGCCGGCAGCGCTCGGGCGGCTGAGGGGGGAACGTGGGAGCGGGCGTTGCCGAGGGGACGCTGACTCCGCTTCTCCTTCCTTTCCCCGGGTGGCAATAAGGAAACAGGATAGCGGTCAGCCAGGGAGTGTGCCCGGGAAACACACTTTTGGGAGCCACCCTGTGAGATCGGATTGATTTTTCTGTTTTCAGGGAAGAAGTACAGTAGGCGGTAGGCTGTCTTGGTTTCCCATTGCAGGAAAAAGGAAAGGGCTTTAGCTCACAGGCACCAATATGCAGAATGTGTGTGCTTTCCTGGAAGTGAGGTGGCACTCTTCAAAGAAATGAGATGATCTGCCCATGATCTGCTCTGTAATCTCCCTCCTCAGCCGGTGAAAGCTTAATACAGCAGAAAACAGATAGTTCACCTCCAAGGAGGATTCTTTCTCTTGGAAAGGGCTCTCAGCAGTGCATTTATGTGGGTTTTGAGGCCACAGGGGAAATGGCTGTGAAGGATTTGAACCCTGTCCATATCTGGGGTTCTTTTTCCAAAAAAGACCCATAGGAACCAGAGTCACCTTTGGCTGTGCTAACAGCTTCATAGGACCTGCATGGAGCTGAGTGCCGACCAAAGTCTGCATGACATTTATTTCTGCTATCACTGGGTTGGTTGGGTTAATCATTGCCATCTCTTATTTAGGTCGCAAGTAAGTCCATGGAATCTTAGAGTAAATATTTTAAATACAAATCGATGAGGCTTCAAGGGACCCGAGAAATGTAAAATGAAGGCTTGGGTTCCTTTCCACCTCCACTCCTAGAACCATAGGGTTCAGGGTAATTGGAGACGACACACTCCTGTTTGTCTCGTCCCGCCTGCAGCTCCCACCAGCAGATGCACCTATCTGCCAAAACCACAAACCCAGGCTGCTGTACCTCTTGTCCATACATGTAGCATTCAGATAAGAATGAGGCACAACACTGACTAATGCTGCTCCCTTTTTGGAAGGAAAATGCCAAAAGCTGTTTGAGACAGAATAGAAGTGCCAGCATTGCGTGATCAGTGAACAGCCAGCAGCAAAAGTGGCAGCTCAAGCCTCTCCCAGTGTGTTCCTCCAGGATGGGAGCTGTGTTCACACCCACCAGCATCCGGCATACAGAGCAGGGTGTAGGGAAGCAGTTGTGTCTTCTATTGTGCCCGCTGTTCCTAACGTACCTATGGCCTCTTTGTGCCCTCTGTCAGAAGAAATCCTCAGCTGGAGTAGATTTCAGTGGTGACAGATTGAAGCTGTTTGACCAGATGATGGCACACAACTGTCACTGAGACGCGGCACCTGTGGCTTCGCAGCGCTTTGGTTTTGGCCATATGTGGGAGCACTGCTGCCTTCTGGCTTGGCCTTGTTGCTGGGTGTTGGGATGCAGAGCAGGGATGAGGGATGGGAAGGAGTGACTGAAGTAAGTGGTGTCCCCAGGAAGTTCTATTCTGCAGTGTTTTACAGCCTAGGGAGAAGGTGATCGGGGAAAAGGTGATATTCTGGTTTATGGAAAATAAACGTGGTGGTAGCACTGCCGTGTGCACCGAGGAGGAGGAGGTTGGGCAGGTGTCTGCAAGAGTGAGGAGCGTGGGCCATGCCAGAGGGGTAAATGCGTGTGGATTTCTTTGAGGTACTTTCTGAAGGGAATTCTCTGGCTCTGCGTTCAGGTTAGCCTGGTGACATGAGGCGACAGACACTTCTCTGTTCATCCACTGTCATGGGGGATGTTTGGGTTCTGATGTTCCCCATAGAAAGCTGTAGGACAGGGCACCCCATGGGAGCACACACTGTGCCTGGGGACCCAAAACGAGCCCTGAACTCCACAGTGTAGCCGGGTCTTCTGAGTCCCCAGGGTACCCCCCCGGGATGCTGGGCCAGCCCCAGCGGCTCGGAGCCTGGCAGGGGGGCTCTCCCCAGCCCCAGCATCTGGACGCCGGCCGCGGATGTCAGTCCGGGCTGGAGGGATCGTTCCCGGCTGGGAGGAGCCAGCAGCAGCCGGAGCTGCTGTAAACAGTGCGGGCACCGCCGGCGGCTGGAAGATGGATATAAATAGGGAGGCAGAGGGGAGGCAGCCGGAGTGGAGGAGCGGGAGCTGCCTGCGCCTGCCTGCCCCTACCTCTGCCTCTGTCCTTGCCCAGCAGCCGTGTCGGGAGCTCCCGGGAGACGGCCGCCAAAGTTTGCGGCCCCGCGCTGCCGGCATTGGGTAAGCGCTCTTTGCAGCCGGAGTTTGGGACCCGCCGGAGCTTCCAGTCGTTCTGCCTCTGGGGTGGTGGTGCGGTATTTTTTTTTTTTCCTTCTCGTCGGCTCTCTCTGTTCGCCCCGTTGTTGTGGTCGCCGCTCTGTGCTTGGGGTTGTACGGAGCGGGGAGAGGGAGGGGTTTCCATGTGTGCGGTTAGGTGGAGGAAAAAAAAGAAAGGAAAAAAAAAAAAAAAGAAGAAGAAGAAGAAAAAAGAAACAATCCAAAGCCAAATGCGTCTTTGCGCCGGCTCTGTGCAAAGCCGCGGAGAAGCGGCGGGCGCGGCTCCGCACGTGTTGGGGCAGCAGGTAGCGGGGCTGCGCTCCTTCTGCCCCTCGCACCGATGCCGGTGCCGCCGCGGGACGCGCCGGGAGCAGCGAACGGCAGCAGTGCGCAGGTCGGTACCGCGACCCCCGCTCCCCCCACCGCCGCGCATCGCCGCGCTGCCGCTGCCCCAACTCTCTTGCAGGGCCGTGCCCGCAGCCTGTCTCGCACCTCGCCCCGTGGCATCCCGGCTCCGACACCCGCCGCCACGCCGTGGTGGGTCGGGGGGTGGCCCTGCGTCTCGAGAGCTCCGCTGCTTTCCACTCTCTCGTCATTCGCGACGGAGGTAAGCGGCCCGGGGGACCGAGAGGGGGATGGATGCGGGTGGTATCCCACGTTTCCAGCTTCTGACCCCGCTACTCTCCCCGCTTCCCTCAGGGAAGGTGGTATTCGCCGACCGCCCCCACGGGCCGCCCATCACGCTGCGGGCCCGCTACATCCTCATCCGGGACGGCGGGGAGCTGCACGTCGGCTCGGAGCGCTGCCCCTATGCCTCGCGGGCCACCATCTCCCTGTACGGGAGAGCAGCCGACGGGGCGGCCGTGGACGGCTTCGGGCAGAAATTCCTGGGCGTGGGGCGCGGCGGGGTGCTGGAGCTGCACGGGCGGCGGCCCCGCTCCTGGAGCCTCCTGGATAAAACCCTGCACCCCGGAGGGCTCCGCCACGGCCCCTATTACTCGGAGAGGCAGTGGGGCAGCCGCGGGCTCAACCTGCGAGTCCTGGACGCCGGCACGGGGCGGGTAGCAGCAGCCGGGCGCTTCGACACCCACCTGCGGGCCGCGGAGTGCCATCGGCTGCGCGACTTCCTGGCACTGCAGCCCGAAGGCAGCGTGGTGGCGGCCGCCGTGGGGGACTCGGCCGCCCGCAGCCTCACGGTGGAGACGCGGCTGCTGCTGCGGGATCGCTTGCGCAGCCAACACATCTCCCGGCTGGGCTACAGGTGAGTGCGCGGGCGAGCGGCGGGAGCGGGGCTCGAACTTGCGGCACTGGGGGTCTGGGAACCATGGACAGCTCCGCGGCCGCCGCGCTGCCCGGCGGAGGGGCCCAGAGGGAGAGAGGGAGGGATGGAGGCCGCGCCGCGCTGCCTTCTCCTGAGTCCCTCCCTGGGGTCGCGGGGTGCAGCTCGAAACTCTCCTTCCTCATCTCGTACAGGCAGCCCTGGGCGCTGGTGGGGATCCTCGGAGGGGATCCGCTTTCGACGGTGGAAGAGAAGAGAGAGTATCATGGGAATGGGACAACAGGGTTAGCCGTAGCCCAAAGAGAATTCCTCACCTACGATGGCACCCGTTTCACTGTTACTGCTTTCAGTGGATGGATAAAAGGTTTTGTGTTTGCTGATAACAATTTGTCTTCTGTTGCTTTGCTCAGTCTTTTATCTCTGCTATGAATCTGAACTGCGCAATTTGTACCATTGGATTTTGCTTATATGCACGGTGGCCACACTAACAGCAACACTCTTATAAAGTACCCCTTTTGCCACCTGCAAGGAAATGACACTGACACACTGATGGCAAAAGCACTTCTGCGCATGATGTTATCTAGATAAAAACGACATTGGTAGCTCTTCAGTTAATTGTATTATTCTGGCATGTGTAACTGTAAAAAAATAAATAAATAATGGAGTGTTTCATTTTTCAGGAGTGCCTCATAATGGGTTTAAAGTGGAGGTGTCCAAAGGAATAATTCTCCATTTAGTGGATGATGTTAGGAGCTGGTTACCTGGTGACAGGATCGTCATTGCCAGTACGGATTATTCCATGCATCAGGCTGAGGAGTTCAATCTCCTTCCTTGCCCTGAATGTAAAAGCAATCAAGTGAAAATTGATGGTATGAGATTTTTTTTTTATTGAGCTTTTCATTTGAGGTAAATCTTTACATTGTCAAGTCTTTTACATTCTACATTTACATTAATTAGTCTTCTTAGCTAAATCATAGAATCTGTAAGGTTGGAAAAGACCACTAAGATCATCTAGTCCTGTCAGCCCATCACCACCATGGCCCCTTAAGCCATACTGTCCCATAAGCACGTGTCCCTGTCACAGGAGACCTGAAAGGCCCCAGTGTTGTACTGGGGCTTAAAATCTGACCTGAGGAAGCTGCCTCTTGTAAAACTCAAGGGAAGTGCTGATCTCCTGTGGATCAGTTATTAATTGCTGCGCATGTCCCAAACTCAGTGATTGCTTGAAGGAAAGGCGTGCACTTGCTTAGAGCAATGCAATAATGAACATGTGCTCACTTGAACAAAAAGGTTTCCGATTTCCACAGGCAGCCCACTTTATCTTCATATTGGCGAAGTCATAGACGGCATCGATATGAGGGCAGAGGTCGGTCTTCTGACTAGAAATATACTTATCCAAGGAGAAATGGAAGACTCCTGTTATGGAGAAAATCAATGTCAGTTTTTCTCCTTTGACACGTTTGGAGGACATATTAAAGTAAGTGATTTTTAAAGCATATTCCTATAGGTGGGTTCATTTAGTTCCTCTCTTGGCTTGTAGATGAGCAGTATAATGCATGAATCTGCCATTTATGTCTGGGGGAAAAAGGATATTTGTGGGGAAGGTTTGCAGGCCTGCTTTGCCAGCAATGAGACTTGCAATGGCGCTGTGCCATTTGTTCACCACGTACACAAAAACGTGCTCTCCTCCATGCCAGAGGAGATTCATCAGCTCCATCGCAGTTGGGTCAATGTGAAGTTGCACATGTTGCATGATATTGCTAAAAGAATTGTACTACCTACTGAGCAACCTGCTCCATTCAGTGCTCAGCTGAGTGCTGGGTCCTCCTGTTGTGCTTTGGTTTCTCTGGGTTGCCCCAAGGGTTCTCGGTCAATGTTCAAAGTTCTGCTGTTCCAGAAGCTTTGTGTAAAATAAATCCATTACCAGTTGGTGGAAATCTGTGCAGGTCTGGCTTAAGATCACTTGACAGAGATTAAATTGTCATGAAATAGAGCCTGTTGGTAAACATTATCTCTTTCTGTAGCTGGTAGGGGTGTTTTGTCTGTGAAGATGTTAATGTATTGACACACAGCTGTTGCTGAACGCTTGCATGCTGGTTGGCAGCTTCTCTTTGGAGCTCCTCTGCAGGTGCTGCTGTGAGTCACCATGGGGAGCTGGCACCCCGTGGGATCAGGCCTTGCCTTGTGTTGCAAACATATTGCTTAATAGGAAAAAAAAAAAAGCTTTTCTTTTTCTGTTGCAACAACTTACTTGGATCTACATTTCTCTCAACAGATCCTAGCGAATTTTAGCTCTGTGCACATGTCAGGTGTGGAGTTAAAAAACATGGGGCAGCAAATCCTGGGCAGTTACCCTGTGCACTTTCACATGGCTGCAGATGTCGATGAGAGAGGAGGGTATCAACGCCCAACGTACCTTGATAATCTGGCTATCCACCACTGCTTCTCTAGGTGTGTTGCCATACATGGGACTCATGGCCTGCTGGTAGGAAACCTATTTTATTAGTACCAAGTTAATTTCTTTGCTTAAGAGCCTTTTGAGATGCAAGGAGAAATCAGAATGCTGAAAAAAGTCTCCCCAGGGGATGTCTTGACTTCATTTGACAGATGAGGACTTCTGCTCCGGCAGTTCAGCTCTTACAGTTGAATTTCAGGTTTTTTGTATTGTCTTGATAATTAGTGTTATTAATGATGTGGTTAGATAGTGAATTCTTTGCCATGGTTACTCGGGGTAGTTTGTGATCCTATGAACTTTCATTTAAAGCAAAAGCAATGCTCTTTTAATGCACCTGACTGAAGCAACGGACCTTTAATTTGCAACAGAAATAAGAAAAGATGAGAGTTGTTCAAGTCGGGGTAACATGAAACAAATCCAAAAGTTTTCACAATACAATAGGAATGCAACAGGACCCAGAAATGCCTTCACGAACTTGGAACTTGGTTTTGACCCAGATATTCACAAGGGTACTGGGGAGAGGAACTTAACAAAAAGAAAAAAAAACACACATGCCCCAGCAGGAAATGCAGATTCCCACTCCAGTCCCAAAGTGTCCAATTGTTCTGTCAGACCCTGAATGGCATTTTGGTGTTCGTGGGCATTTCCTCATTCACTTGATGTGTGTGTAGGCAGAGACACTCCTAGAACTATCTGTGAACTCTGAAGTTTTCCTGGAAAGTTTTTCTCAGCTCTGGACATAAAGCTCTGTGAGATGTGACATAGACACAGGCTGGTGGGACCCTAGTGCGAAGGGTTGTATTCCTTAAGATTCAACACTGGACTTACATGTCTGAGAGCACTTTTCATGTATCCTGGGTGGGTGCCCTGTCCCTGCAGACACTCCAGATCAGGCTGGATGGGGCTCTGATCAGATGTAGGTGTCCCTGTTCAGTGCAGGGCAGTTGGACCAGATGGCCTTTAAGACCATTCTATGATTCTAAACAGTATTTATAACGTCCAGATCACTCAAAATTGTTGATTACTTTGTCTTACATGTGATTCACTCTGGCTATTTGTAGATGGAGCCCTTGCATGGCAGGAGTCTTGTATAGTGTGTGTAGATACAGCTCTACTCCCTTTCTCTTCCCATTGTATTACACCCTGTGAATATCAGGAACCTGGCGGGCATGAAAAATTAAGCCTTTCATTAATGTTATTTCCAAGAATAATGGTGCATACTCTGGGCCTTTATCAGAAGGGAGGATGTCAATGGGTTATCCAGGTGTGTGAGATTAAGTGGGCACAAAATTAGGAATCAAAGAATAGATTCAGGCCGCCAGCAGGTGATACCTCCTGGGGACTTTGAGTCCATCAATCAGTCAGTAGGTTTTATAGCAAAGGTTAAATATCTGATTCTGTGGAAGAATCACATGGTTTCAGTGATGCCATTAAGAGTAATTAAAATGTATTGAAAATCCTTTCTTTAAGATAAAACAATCCATAGTTCCAGAGCATTGTATGTGTATCAATGCAAGGCAGTTAGATAACATAGGTGGGAGCTGTGTGCCCTTCTCCCACCTGCTCCTCCTGCCTGCCAGCCTCGTGCCCCTTTGCAGCCATTTTTCAGCTTGGGTTACTCACTGCGGCTGGGCAGCAGGCTGTGACACGCTGCTCACTGCCCTGACACACGTCAAGCATACCGCAGAATATTGCAGTCTTTCATGTATAAAGTTGCAGTGCCTCAAGGTCACTTATATTGTGTTGCTGAACTATATATAATTCAGTGTTTAGAGGCATGTTAATCATCTGGCCTTGGGCTGTGGGCTGAGCGGGGACGACGCTGTGTGCTGTTGTATTGTAATGTACTGATGTCACAGTGCTTGCAGGGTGGCTCTTCATTTCAAGCCTTCAGTTCTGTCTGTGATATGCTGAGATATACTGTAATAATGATTACTGATGTTTTGATCTAATAGCATGGAGAGGCACAGCTGCCCAGAGAGCTGCAGGTGCCCCCATCCCTGGAGGTGCTCAAGGCCAGGTTGGACAGGGCCCTAGGCAGCCTGAGCTGGGGAGGCACCCAGCCCATAATGTTGGGTTGGAGCTTGATGATATTTAAAGTCTCTTCCATTCCAACCCAAGCCATTCTATATGATCCTGTGACCCTTCTCATTCAGTGCAAATGTAAACAATCTTTAAATCTCCTTTTTTTTTTTTTTTTTTTTTTTTTTTTTTTTTTTTTTTTTTTTATGGACAGGAGAGTGAATAATATGGTTCCATTTGTGTAAGCTTTCAGGGCTTCCATGAGTTTCTGAAGCTACCACAAATCATATTCATTAAAGCTAAAATCTATTTTTGGTGACAAGACTGATTTTTAATGCACTTCTCTGAAGCACAGATTATCTGAAGTTAGCTAAATTCCCAAGAATGAAACTCACTAATTGAAATGCTCTTTGCTTTATGGCTGCAGGCAGCTTGCTTTATATCTTTTCTCCAAAAATAGTCTTCAGTGCAACTCCAAACTATCATCTGGGAGGATATAAGCAGCTAGACTTACTGTTCATAGCAGGTAGGCAGGGGCACTTGCATTTTTATCTAAATCCATTTCATATCCACGTTTCCAAGACTCAGCTGATGGACACACTTTCTCTCCATGTCACTGTGTCTGAGTTCTTGGTCATCTGCCTCGTAGCTCACTCTGTATTATCTCACTTACATGCAGAGTCTCAGCGGACTTCCAAAAATGTATTGGTTGGGAGTTGGGTACCTGCCTGTGTGATGCCTTATTTTTAACCTGAACGCTTCACTGAGCAGCAGGTGACAAAGGAGGGACCGCCAGGAATGGAATGAAATCCAGTAGAAATAGACATAGAAATAGAAATGTGACTCCAGATGTTATGTATGGCTGTGGCCCATTAAGGTGTGATCACAGGATATGAACTGAAATGGGTTTAGTTCAAGTTTCCCTCTGTGTACAGGAACCGAGCAGGTTAATATTAATCAATCTTGCAGTCTTACATGGACATAACTCTAATTGACGTCAACAGCCATTTTGCATGCCTGAAGAATGAATACACACGCTGGCAGGGATCATGTGAGGTACAAAGTTCGGTTTCAGAGAGATTTAGTAACGAATAGCTGGTACTTTAACTAACCTGATTTAGTATTCGCATTTAAAGGAGGGATTTCTAAATTTGCCTTCATAAGGCAGTACATCAAAGGAGCTTTGTGCTAAGTCCTCTTGGTCAAATTAGGATTTAATGCATGTCAGTTAATCTTAAATAGGCTGAATGTGAAACACCAGCTCTGCCCAAGCTGATCGTTACATTAAGGGGGAGCTCCACCTTCTGAGAGTGGAGAAGAAGAAGAGAAGCTTTGAAAAGAAAAAATTACCTCATATGCTGCATTTTAAAGATTTTTAAAATTTTATTTGGGAAACCTAGTCATGAAAATGTCTGAACTAGCTTTTTGGCGTACCACCTGAGACACACAGATATTTACACAGATATTCACGCTGTGATTCTGAATCAAACCTACTCTCCTAGAGCTGAGGGCAGATTAAAATCCAGTATTTTACAACTTCCCTTTAATTATGCCTATGATCTTCCTCAGAGTAATTTTACTAGCTGCAGTATTGCATAAGATCAGTCCACTCTTACACAAACTGCGTGAGTGTTATCTCTTGGACCAGTGCACATGAAGGCACTGTGCAGAACAATGGCGAAACCTTTCAGTCACTGTTTCAGAATTCATTGCTAAGCAAAGCATGTCATTGCTGCCACCTCTGTTAGTGTCACATTCTATGGCCTGTGTGCTTTTTTCCAGGTAAAAGACACCATTGGCTATGACACCCTGGGGCACTGTTTTTTCCTGGAGGATGGGACGGAGCAGCGCAATACATTCCAGCACAACTTGGGCCTGCTCACCAGGTCGGGAACCATCTTGCCCTCAGATCGCAATGAAGCAATGTGCCTTGCCATCAGGAGCCACGTCTATGGGAATTACATTCCGGTGCCAAGCACTGACTGCATGTAAGTGCTTCATGAAATGGAGTTGCTTTTAACTCCTGTGCTGAGCTTTATAGCTGCGTCTTAAAGAATGTTATGTTGAAACAAATATGATCATAAATATGTAGAGTACTTGGCTTGTTTCTGATCATCTTTCAGTTATTTTGAACAAGAATCATAGTCATACAACCATAGAATGGCTTGAGTTGGAAGGGACCTTAAAGGTCACCTCCCTGCCGTGGGCTGGTTGTCCCCCACCAGCTCAGGCTCCCAGGACTCCATCCAACCTGGCCTTTTTAGTTAGTCTGCAAGACAAAGGTACACAAACACCTACAGTATACAAGGAGATTTAATGAGAGTGTAGAGATTAGTATGAAGTGCCATGAGCCTCATTTGTAATACGATAAATGACACACTACTATAGCTTACCAAGTTATCTTCCATTTTGGAGACTGAGGGGCTGTAACATGGGCATTCAGGGGATCTAGGTACTGACCTGCCTAGTATTTGCAAATAAGAATATAATTTAGCCAAGGAAATTTGTATTTTCATGTTCTCTGGAAATGAATCAAGTGGCTAAACTCATTTTATTTATGTAAGTAATCCAATTGAATTAACAACAATTATCGTTGTAGAAATGCTAAGGTTGACTGTACAGATAATACAGGTTTGTTGCACACCTATGTAGTCATTCTACTCATGCAAATGAGTGGGGATTCTTGATTACACAGTAGTTAAAGTAGACAAAAAATTATTGAGATTTCCTGCCTAGAATGATCCAATTAGTTGGTATAGTCATGAGAAAAGGTTTGGAGTGTTTTTACATGTGTTTTTCATTATAGCAAAAGATGTTATCAAATGAAGCAAGACAACAGATGATCACGTTTTCATAGCTATATCTGGCTTCTGTTTGTGTCACTACTTGATCTTCCCTCTGAGGCAAAAATTCTTTATTTGAACAAATGTCAAAATAATATCTCCTTAATCTACTGTTTAACGAGCTATTTGTGGCTTGCAAGGACACTTGTTTGTTTTCCAAGTAGAAGCATCATAAATCCATATCGAATCCCCTACCTCTTGCCATTGTCCCCAGAGATCCAAAAAAAAAACCAACCCAGAAGTTCATTTTTCAGGCATTTTCCAAAGCTACTTCAATTTTGGGAAAAAAGAAAAGAAATAAAGACATCAGGTTTCCTTAAGGTGCATTTAACAGAACTGGAATTTTGTGTTAATGGTCTCATATAATTTATTTGTTCAGCATGTGGCTTTACAAATGAATGTCTGACATCACTAGATGCTTTCTTTCCCTTCAAGAGTGTCATTAAAAGGTTGTGTGGCGTTTTAAAGTCGATGGGAGGGTTGTGGCTGAAGTCCAGCACAGTGCTATGAAAACGTATCCCTTCCTGTTTGGTAACTGTTCAGGATCATTTTGATTTTGATTTTTCAGGGCTGTCAGCACTTTCTGGATTGCAAATCCAAACAACAACTTAATAGAGAATGCAGCTGCCGGTGCTCAGGTAAAACCACTTAACAGCAAGAGCTGTACTTTGCCTCCAGGTCTCATATATTCTACTCTTTTTGATGTTACCAGTGTGAGGGCAATGAATTTTTAGTAAGTCATCACAAAATCTGGATATATATTTCTGCAGTCTTTCACTCTGTGAAGGATTTGCCCACGTTTGTCTCACAGTTGTTTCTGAGACCAATTTCTGTCACAGCTGTGGCTGGAAATGATGTGTGGTGTCTCTGAGAAAACATTGATTCTTATTTGTAGTTAATAGTTTAATGCCCAATAAAGTTTTACATTTATTTATATAAATACATACTCTCTGTGTTATTATCTCTAGCGTTTAACCAAATCCTGTTTGTGTGTAACGTGGCTATGCAGATGAGGCTATGTTTTCTAATAAGCCACCTGAACTTCATCTACAACACATGGATTTTTAAAACCTCCACGTGTGCCCAAGGGGCCTACAGTGCATGCCAAAGGGAAAGTCAAGATGTGTATGAGTATGGGCTGGTGTGTGTCCCTTGGGACTTGCATGAGTTTTGCAAGCTCAGCTGAAAAATCTGGCCAGCATACTGGGAAGCACCAAGTCACCAGGATAATCTCCATCACTAATTGCCATGTCCCATTCTTTGGACCTCCCTTTGTTTTTTAGGATGTCGGGATCTGGTACATCTTCCATAGGGTTCCAACTGGACAGTCTGAAGGGCAATATCCAGAAGGACAAGCTGAACATACCCCCTTGGGAGTGTTTTACAACAACAGAGTCCACTCCAATTTCAAGGCATGTGGATGAGTTTTGTGTGTTACCACCAACATAGTGCTGTGGTGCAGGGCTGACTATGTGCATTGTTAATGATATATGGCTGTCTTACATTTTGATAATGGTCTTCTAGCATATATCAAGAAACACTCAATGTTCAGTTGTACCACTCCTTCTACAATAAAGAGAGAGCTGAGCAGAACGTGAGTGCCAGTTCAGGGGTCTCTGTTAGAGGGGTTGTGCCCAGACTGGACATGCACCTACTGCTGAGGTTTAAGGAACGATGAGCAGGATGACACTGAATGCTGCTTTGGCCACAGTGATGTAAGGATGTAGAGGGATGAGCAGAAGTACCTTGTTCCAGGGTTTGCTCATCACCTTTGAAAAATGAGACCAAATATTTAAGGGTAATTCCAAGACAAACACATTTCCTCTAATATTCTGTTGACATGAAAACATAACCTGTGAGCTATAAAAAGTGTTTTCAACTTATTTCTAAGGATTCTAGACTGAAATCAGTACTATTTTCTGGTTCTTGTAAACATTACATCTTGGTCTATGACAGCTGTTGCTCTATCTCAGTCTTTAGCTTGGTTGCAGCAGCTCATGTTCTCTTTTGACAGTTGGGTGGCTCGACTCTTTTTATTTAAAGCTGCACTTCTTAACAACAGCCTTTTTCCAAAAAGTTATCAAGAGCTTGGCAGAGTCCTTTATTGCTTTCAGCAAGAGAGAAAGAGAGTGGGAGTTCAGTGCCTTGCACTGGGTCAGAAGACAGCTCAAGATGTTGATGCGTGACATATGGCAGAGCAGGCTCTGTCCTGACTTCAGCATACTACATCCTGTGCTAATGTCACCCTGAGCAGTGCCAAGTGACATTGAGAGGGGAGAGAGAGCCCAGGCTGCAGGCTGTTGCTCTGTATGCACACGCAGGCTGCCCATGTTCATTGATAAAATCTGTGATCTCTGGCCTCTTGTATACAGTCTGGTAAAGTAATTGGAGTTGTCTGCTTTTTCAGGCTGGTTTGTTTATTGGAAAAGGAGTAAAGACAACAAGAGCCAGCGCTGAAGATCCCAGAGAGTATCTCACTGTCGATAATGCCAGGTAAGCACATGCTGTACGGCAAAGTACTTTGGATACTTCTGTTGCTTCTTGGCTTCTGCATCACATTTAGCAGGTCATTAGTGCCTCATCATGGCTGGAGAATCTGAAAATACTCACAAGGTCTCTCTGATGTGCAGAGGCAAGTATTTCATAGCTATGCACTGAATTGTTTGTGTTTTTGCTGATCAGAAATGATATGCGTGCATTTGGGATTGTAAGGACTAAGCCAGGAAAGGCTTGAAAAGTCTAGATTTCATTATTCATTAGTCGGTTTGTAAACTGCAACATTACTTATTAATTACTTAGAAAAACTTGCATCTGAAATATGACATAAGAGATCCTAAGAGGACTGCATTAACCAAGCTTCTTGCTTCAGGTTTCGCCCACATCAAGATGCTGATCCTGAAAAGCCACGAGTTCCTGCCGTAATTGATGGTCTCATTGCTTTTAAAAATAATGACCATGGGGCCTGGGCCAGGGGCGGCGACATTATTTTCCACAACTCTGGGTAGGTTCCTGTAAATTCATGCTGCACCTTTCCCCCGCCTGTAGGCCAAATTCCCCTTTGACATCTGTTGTAATTTGCACCTCTGTGCTTCTCCCATCCTAGGTTTTCAGACAATGGAATTGGGCTCACACTGGCAAGGTAATTTCTTAAAATGTACCTTCTTCTTGTTTTTCCTCACAAGGTATCAGGCCAAAGAATAGAAGCTGAGACCCTTCCCTGGGTCTACTACTTCCCATCTACTATTTACTGTAAGAAACATTTCCCTCCCAGAGCACATATAGCCATTGGCTTAATAAATTGGGTAGAAATACTGTATCTTTTGTGTAATTAACAGTGTGAGTTGATTGGTCACATAGTTACCTGTGTTTCTTTGTCTGCTTGTAGTGATGGGACATTCCCAACTGACGATGGCTCTAGCCTGGAGGTGTCACGCTCCATTTTTGTTGGAGAAAGCAGCAATCTGGGCTCCCAAGGAGGCCAGAACAGCTACTGGGGAAAAGGGGCAAACGGAGAATACAGGACACTGCCCAGAAACAAGTGAGTTGTTCCTCTGCCATTTCTTCCTGTTAGAGCAGCGTGAAGAAAAGCCTCAGGAATGAATGTGGCTACCAACGAGTAATTTGTATTGGGTGTTTAAATTATTGTAGAGGCCAGAAATAATAAGCATCCAAATAAACTCCTCTTCAGGACAACAATTTGAGAGCACTCTCAACCAAATGTTTGATTTTAATTTTCTGCTTGATTTATTAGTCACTGGTGAGTGGATTAGAGAATCTGAAAAATACCAAATTGCTTTTGTGCAGTGCTTCATTCATACAGCATTGACCTGACAGTGCAACTCCCTTACACCATGCCTCCCTCGTACTCTCCTGCTGGCATATCTGCGTGGGCAAGAGCAATGTGTCAAAGGGGAAAGGCATCTTCATTACTACATCTTATTTCTCTTTCAACAGCTGAATGTTATTTGCTATTTCGATGGCAGCACAACCTCTCTCCAGCAAAAGCATCACCAGAGCAAGCTGTGTTTCCCCAAGTCTAAATTCTTCCCTAATGTATGTGTTAGCTGATGCTCATCCATCCTTAAGCCCTCTGTAGGGAATAATATCACCTGGTTCCCAGTGTCCTTCAGGCTGTGTGCCCATTTGCTGTCTGCTGTGTGGCTTGTATGTCTGAACAAATCGACAATATTTCTGGATGTGGTAGGCAGCGACCTACTCTGCCATGCTGCTACTGGCCAGCTCTCATTTCCATCTGTGAAGCTGAAGCAGGCCACCCTTTAACCAAACATTGCCAGAGCCAAGCAAAACTTGGAGCCTTCTCAAGACAAGCCATGGGAAGGGCAGGTCCTCTCCAGCGGTGTTTCCTTCAACACTGACAACTTGACAACATGTCCATGGGCTGGTACTGTAGGAATCAGCTTTCTATATGAAGTGCTGTGGGCTAAGTTCTGGGGATCGTGTTTGAAGTGGCCTGGGGGGAAAGCAGAAACTGTGCTGCACCACTCTGTAATTTCTTCTATGAAGACACTATTCTTCATAGACTGTGACTGATGCCATTTTTTCAATCACATTAAGGTTTTCCAAAGAAATCTCTCTGTCCTGGAATAGGGAACTGCATAGCAAAGCTGCCACACAGCCCTCTGGGGCTTCCTCATGCCAATTCATCCCTGAGTGGCAAGGGACAAGAGCTCTGAACTGTATTACCTTTACTTACGCAACCAGTGTGGGTTATTGTTCCTTGAGCCCTGTCCTCTAGAGATAAGCAGAAATTCAAGTTCCATCAGCTGTGTGCTTAGCATTCAGATCCCTCTTTTGGGAAAAGAAAGGTCTACTAGCTGCTTGTTGACAGCTTTCTGTGCTTTCAGGAGAGAACATGCACTTTGTCCAAGCTTTTAGCACAGGATTGTGTTTGTTTTTAAATCTCACAGGACATTCCCTATTCGTGGATTCCAGATTTATGATGGGCCTGTCAGGATGGCAAAATGCACTTTCAAGAAGTTTACCCCAACTGCTGACCGATACTCAAGTGCCATCGGCTTCTTCATGAAAAACTCCTGGCAGATAAGCCCCCAGAATAATGTGTCACAAATCCTGATGGAGAAGAGCGTAAGTAAAACAGGAATGCATGCTGCTAGATGAGGAGTTTTTCAAAGTATTTAGAAGTGGTGAGAGATTTATCCAAGAGTAGGAATTTCCAGGCTGTGGTGCATGTTACATTAGAGAATACCATCACTTCATTTTACATGAAATTTCTTTTGATGATGGTTATTTACAATCCATTAACATTTGAAAAATATCAATATTAATTAAATTAATTAAAAATATATTAATATATATTGATATATAATATCAATATTATACCTGGGCAAATGCACACAGCAAAATCTTTGGTAGACAAGTTTTCACCTTGCAAACAGAGCAGCCGGAACACCATTCTCTGCAGCGTTGCCAGCTAATATGTTGCACGGACCTTGTGAGAACCTGGCCTCAGAGTCTGAGAGGGACGCAGTGAGGTATCAGGAGGCAGCAAGCTGCAGTACAGTTCTTACAATGAAAGAAGCAAATGCAATTAGAAGCAAAACCATGGTCTGTTTCCTGGGGTTAGCAGTGAAATTCCTGTTGAGAACAACAGGGACTTTCCTTGAGCAGCGAGAGCAGAATAGGGCTCTGTATTTGTGTCTTGGCAGCAGCCATAAGATGCTGAGCAATTCCAGTCCTTGTTCTAGATTCCTGCAGGGATCATGGCTCTGAACACTTGGCTTGGGAAATGATAAATTCCACCTGGCTCACTCCCAGGGATCATAACCTCTCCTTACATTCTCTTCAAACAAGATCCATGCTTGTTAGGATGTCCGTGAACTGTAGTAACTTTGGGCTGAGGTTTGGCTTATCTTGAGGAAAATTTCCATTGCTCTGAGATTGACCAATATCACTACTCTGGCAAGCAGCCATTTTGTCTGTCCCCTCTCTGGTACACTTTAGCTTAACAACAAGAGGGTTTTTCATGGAATGGTGATGCTGACTGCAGTCACTTGACTGCTCCTTTAAAGGGCAGATCCTGTATGTTTTTGGTAAAGAGGTCTCAGTAATTTTGGATACTTCAGGGCGATTTGGAGCAGTAAAAAGAGCTAATTTGCTGTACTTCCTTATGTCTTCCATGGGGAAATGGTTATAAGATGATCATGGCAAACATGAATGAGAAAATCGTTCTGGAACAGGGATGAGGAACTTAAAGAAAAAATGTATAATGAAAAAGTTTTTTCAGTGGAAGAAATTGGAACTTTTCCTTCAGTAATGGCTGTAAGACTATCCAGTGGAATGGCATCAGACAGATAATATCTGTGCACATCAGCAGAGGTGATGGTTACTTACTGAATGCCTGAAAATGCAGATCTTTAATACTGTTGTGCCATTTGAGGCCAATGTCCTGGCACTTTTTCTCTAAGGGGTAGCTCAATACTGCTATGCCTTTGAGGTTTTCAAGGTAACAATGACCAGAAGACTTACTAACTACTTCTGTAAAACAAATTAAAATAATACAGTGTCAACCTGTTACCAAAAAAAATGCTAATGACATTATTATGTATGTACATTTCCAAGAAAAGTCCATTTCTCAAGTTGGTATTTGGCCAGTTTCAAAACCATTTATGTTTGTAACCACCTGCCTCCCAATGGTTTTCACTTTGATTCTATTTTATCTGGATTGAACCCAGATGTGCTAAATCTGATTTCAGACTTGAAAGATAGTTTACTGTTTTGTTGTTAATTACTACATGGGGCAATATGTCTTTGACCAGTTGAGATACAACCTGTAAACTGTTTTAATTAATTTTCCATCTCCAGGCTTCATTTTATTGCTTTTTCAAGGGTAGCTAAACACTAATTCCCTAAAGGACAATCATTTTACAGCTGATTTTTAAGAATAAATTAAACATTACTGCAAGTTGTACCATGATGATAAGACTATTAGTCATGCTGAAAGAGTAATTGTCTAATTAATCAGACTAATCAGCTGGTTGGTTAGACCACAAAGTAATAAAGCTCGTCAGGTCTTGTTTCGTTCCAGCATAAAAATAAACTCTCAGGTAGAACAGAAGACTGAAACATTATGCTCCACATAAATTATTCTACCTGTCATTTTCGTTGGCAAACTCTCATATATAAAGATTTCTGTACTTTTTTAAAATAATGATGGACTGCTGAAAAAAAAAAGGGTGCTTTAAAAAAAGTTATTTCAACGCAGAGGAAGCAGTAATTGGTCTTAACCCAGCTGAGGGCTGGTCTAATGGTTGAAGTCTCCTGAAGGTCTGCTTACTGACAATCAGTGGGAGTTGGTGAGCTCAAGAAGACAGCCCCAGAGCAGAGCCATGCCCAAAGAGGACATTTGTGCAGCATTTCTTAAGAAGACCCAGCACAGAATCATAGCACCGTAGGGATTGGAAGGGGCCTCTGGAGATCATTAAGCCCAAACCTTACTAAAGCAGGATCCCTACAGTTGGTTGCACAGGAAAGTGTCCATGCAGGTTTTGAATATCTCCAGAGAAGGAGACTTCACAGCCTCTCTAAGCAGCCTGATTCACTGTTCTCTTTCTAGTCATAAAACATCTATCCGTTCATGCCTCTGCTGTGTTGCTGCACAGTTGTAGAGTGAGGTAAGAATCGAGAGGTTGTACGCAGCTGTGTTGGTTTTCTGCCTTTGGACAGGGTTAGCTTTACTAAGAAATGATGTACTTTAATAACCATCTGTCGTATAGCTGTCAGGCACCAGGCAGGTAATTCAAGTGGCCCTTGCACCATGTCACTCCTGAGTCGTTCACTTCTAATGAAAATTAGGTGTTTGAATATTAGTGTGGTAGCTAGAAGTGATCTGTTTCTGTGCTCCTGTGTTTCTGTGTCTCATTCCTAGCTCGTGAACATACTTGATAAGCTGAGTCTTCTTTCACATGTGCTCTTTAGCAGTAGCAGCAAACTCAGTGCACCTCCTGTCCCTCATTGTACAAAAGCAAGGTTGTCCTGAGATGCATGAAAGAAGAAAGTGATACTACTCATTAACATTTCCACACCATTTCTGACTTTCAGACTTTTAGAGGAGAATGTTAGAAATGAGATTAATGTCAGGACCAAAACAGACTCCCTCCCGGATGGGAGCAGTGGGGCTGTTAATCAGATGTAAGCCGTACAGGCTGTACCTTAGTTTATTTTGAAGTACAGCTGACTTTGTTCTCTTCCCCAGTGAAGTGCCCATTTTCAAATTCAGCCCCAAGACGTGCACTGTCACAAAGTGTTTATAGCAAAGCTTTGAGCTGCAGCACAGTGTTTGCATTTTGCTTTTTTATGAACTAAAAAGATTAAAAAAAAAAAAAAAAAAGGAAAAAAGGAAAAGCCCACACAAAAAAAACCTCCCCAGAACTTAGGACATCCTTCTTCTTTGCCAAATAGCCCTTTGGGTAAAAACTTCCTGCAGCACAGTAAGAAAAGATTTTAATACACTGAAAAATACACACTGAATTTCTGTGCGTTTGAGCCTTTTTAAAATGAGACTGCTTCAGGTGTCTAAGTATCAGTGTCATAAACAAACAAGGAGGTGACTAAAATATGGATTTAGGGCTTAATTTAGCTTTAATAAAGACTTTCTAGGGCAACGTAAGGCTCTTGTTGCTTCATTCTGCAAGTCGTTCTTGTTACAGCAGTCATTCTTTTTAAGCCAGTGGGACTTTCCGTCTAACTGAGAATCACAACGGCCCTCCAGTTCTCCTAAGATTTTTATTTATTATTGTGAAAATAAAGCCTTTAAACTCCTTGGTGAACTTGCAGCATAATCTTGCTGACCCTAATTCTTACTCTTGTGAACAGTCCAATTAAAATTGAGCAAAACGGAACAAATTATAGTCCTTTGGGCCAGCATGATCAAGTTGCTACTTACGCTATTTCAATATACGTTGCTTCAGGGTTCTTTCTGTGCAAACAACCTGGAATAATTATTGTCTTGATTTCCTCAGAAATTAATCATCACACAGTGCAATAATTTTCTCTGTAGGCATTAAAATATCCCATGCCTTTTTGGTGAACATCTGCAGCTTCCTTATTTTGTTGTGTTTGCATATCGGGACAGATTTTTTTTTTTAATCTACTGAAGAATTCTGTAAATAGAGCTATGCACAGTGATGATAATGCTCTTTCTTGTTATTTTTCTTGCCTAAAAAAATATTCCTCAGAGGATACATTAGGATATACACAAGCACCAATTCTGAGAATTGCTGTCAGTTCTATGCATTCTAAAAGTTTTTTTGGGGAAAAAAATATGAAAAAATACTTGATAGAATAACAGAAACGTTTGAGTTGGAAGGGACCTTTCAAGGCCATCTGTTCAAACTGCCCTGCACTGAACAGGGACAACTACAGCTGATCAGGTGCTCAGAGCCCCATCTATGCCTGACCTGGAGTGTTTGCGGGGACAGGGCACCCACCACCTCTCTGGGCAACGCCGTGTCACAGAATCAGAACAGCCATTGGAAATATGTGAGAAAATTCACCATAGTTTTTGTAGTTTTTGTTTCTTTGATTACAACCCGGGTCAAAGATGCTTACTTCTCTGTAAATTTCATAATCTTCCAGTGCTTCCCTTTCCTTTGAGTCATCCTCTTCTTTTTGACGCAACGCAATTTATTGCTGTGTGATTTCAAGGAATGAATGGTTTTGTGGGTACAATTCAAAGTCTAATTCTTACAAAAATGTTTCCTGCAATTGAAGCGTGAAAACCAATGTCGCCAGAAGTCTAAGTGGAATAGCCAAGCAAAATTCTTGCTCAAATGATAATGCTACCTAGTCTTAGATGTATCACTCTCTTGGCTGTTAAAACACTGCAAGTTCAAGCCCTTACGGTTTGTCTCCTTACTGTCTCCTGCTAGGTTGGACTGAAAGTGTTTTTTGGCAGAGCGGGCCAGTGGTTTGGAAACAATGATAATGACGGTGACAAAATGTCTGTCTTCCATGATCTGGATGGCTCCGTGACAGGATATTCCAACACCTTTGTAGGCAGAGCAGACAACTACCTGCTCCGTCATCCCGGCTGCGTCACCGTCCCCCGCTGGAATGGGGTGATGTGCACTGGTAGATATGCACAGGTAAGGAGGTGCTGCATGCAGTGTCACTGCGTGTGTTGGGTGGGAGTCCCCAAATGCTCTGTTTGAGGTGGTGGAGTGAAACCCATTGAACACTCAAAAAGATAACAGGAGAATAATACCTTGGGTATAGTTTTACTGTTTTGCTTTATCAGGAGTTGCTTTTAAAGTGTCTAGACACTGGATTTGTGTCCTCTGGTTTGCTATTGACTAGGTGGAAACAGGATTGAGCTCCTAAGAGACAGCCCCACTGAAGAAGGGTTTTTGTGCTTGGCACTTGTATTTTCCTCTGTGCCTCTAAGGAAATAATATTCCAGGCTCTGGCAACCTAACAGTTAAACTCAGAATTGTAAACAAGTAGGCATTTATATTTTTATGTCTATTAATACTTTCCCAACTATGGCACTCTACGTGGTGAGACTGTTTTTCCACCATAGAAAATTTCCTTGGCTAGGTTTAGGCAAGCGTAAACATTTGCTTCTCTGGGATCTGTTACCAGCATTTTTCATCTAATCAGCATCCAGCAGGATAAGTGAAGTTCACATTAACTTTATGGGTTTTGGGTAGGGAAATGTATGTGCGTGCAGTGCAGAAGAAATTGGTCCCTTGCAGCGGAGTTTGATTTAATGTGGAGGGCATATCTGATGGAAGATTTCAGCTTGACCTTGGTTCTCAGTATCTTTAGAAGTGGATGATTTGTTTGTGAGCTGAGTTCTGGGTGTTGTATTTCAGCTTAAAAGATTGGATCCAACTAAGGAGAAAGATGTTTTGCTTTGATCTTGGTAGTCCTATTACAAAATATGTTTTTCTTTTCCTCCCCTTGTAGCTCTGGTACACAAGAACCTTTATTCTTCCCTAGTGTAAGCAGGTGAAAATTTCCTTTCAGTTCAAGGAAACAGTGACATTACATTGCAGCTGAAATGGGCCCAAGATAGACTAGGGAAGGGCTACTTGGCATGGAAAAACAAGACCCAAGTCCTTCAGCTAACATTACATCCAAATCCTTCCTGAGCAAAATGCCTAGAGTTCAGTTAATTCCTTTCTGGTTCCTTCCATTTACTTTTCTGCTCTTCTTCTGGACAAAATTTGCCCAGAAAGGGGAAAACCCATTCCTCTGGCAGTGTTCCTAGCTCCACAAAATCCTGGAGACACACTTTTCTGAAGATGTTTTAGTCTGGCAACTTGGGCTGACATTCCCACCTGACTTCCCATGGCTAGTTCATGGCTCTTTCTGCACCGTGCATCTTCCTCAGGTGGTGTCTGGGAGCTTCCTGTAGTGGGAAGTCTAAGAAATGCCTTGTGCTTTGGCTTCAGCATTGCCTTGCTCTGCCGAAAAAGGGCTATGGGACCAGCTTAAGGTCACAAGATTTACACAGGCAGGAACTATCAGGCCTCTTTGTCCTTCCCTTTTGATCCTGAAGCCTGTAAGGTTGGTATTGTCCTAACAAGACAAACATTTTATTTTTAATGACTGCTAAAACACTCATGTAATATAAAGTGAGGCTCTAGGGAAGAGCATCAGATAGAAGGAGATCGACAAGGAAACTGCAAGACCTGGCAGCACCATAGCTTCTGGGGATTTCTGTGAGTCACTCAGTTTCTGTCAGAAGGGCATTAAGGTCCTTGGTATCCCATCAACCTGATTTACAACTGCAGGAGAGACTGATAATAAAAGAAAAATGTAAGGAGAGGTCCATCCCACAGTTATCTCCATGTAGGTGGGTGAGATTTCCAAATGCATTGACCTGGAGACATCTCAACACCTATGTTGCTTGTGGAAAATGTGAATGAGATTCCGAAACCATTTCTGTTTTCTACATGCATAGTAAAAGAAGTGCTTTAGCTCCCAGTGGGCAGTTGAAGCTGTGTGCTTACTGCTTGCTTGCAGAGCAACTCAGGACAGATTGTGAAACTTTTCTTTTTTTGGGACAGGTCCTTTTTTAAAATAGGCTGAGTTTTTTGGCAGTAGATGCTATTTTCCTTTAGTAGCTTAAAAAGATGTTAGATGGTTGTAAGACTGCTGCTTAGCAAAATTAGTGTCATTTTTGAGTTAACAAAATTAATTCTTTGCTACTTTTAAACATTTTAGGTAATTCTTTTGATTTTTTTTTTTTCTTTTAATCAGTTCATTCCAGCCAATCACTACCTTGCCATGGTCAGTTGAAATAGAAGTTGTTCCACTTCTATTAGCTCTGCTTTTGCAGTGTATGCAATTACGGTGACCATGCACCTGTAAGTCATGTGTGTTCAGCTGGTAGTGGGTTTGGCAATGACAATTCTACAACTAAAGCAAACCAGAGATGCAGTAGATAGCAATGGTACTTTTCCATGCCCAGACAAAACTATACAATCCCAATGTGTGGTGTTTGAGGAGCATCACACAGACTGGGAAGAAGGAAATCTTGCAAACTATTTTTCAGCTAATGCCCTCCAGATTTGGATGGAGGTCCAGTTTTGATCTCCGATATACAGCAGTGGAAAATAAAGATAGTTTTGCTGATGTCAGCAAAGCTGCTGTTATTTCTAGGGCTAAAATTGGTCCTGACATGTATAATAGGAAGAAAAAATACTACTTCTTCATGAAATAATTTTGGAGTCTTCACTTAGAAGTTCATAGAGAAAAATTGTTCCCCAGAGGAATGATCCTTTTCTGAACAACTGAAGAACTAGAAGAGTAGATGTGTTTCAAGTTTCTCATTTTAAAGACATTTTACCCCAGTTTTACAACTGACAGCACAGCAGGACAAAAGCAGTGTCAAAGAAACCAAAACACCACCAAACTTTCTCTCAGCAATGAAGATTTTCTGTTCCACTGCTTTGCATTTTGCTTATCTTCTTGCTGGCTATCCAGTTGAATAGCAGATCCCCATGAATTTTAAAGGAACTTATCTTCTCAGTTTCACAGTCTACTTGGGAAAACTGCCATGTAAGCACAGGGAAATCTGACAAATCTTTTTAGCGTGAAATGTTAAGAAGCTAAAATGACACTATGTCCATTAAACCATTCAGACAAGTAGCACGATCCCATTTTATAATGTTTAACTAGCTCTGCTTCTCCTACTCCATTAGCTTGTAATTGCTCCTCCTCCTCTTCCTCGTTCTCCTGCCCAGAGGAGGGGATAAATGGGAAATGTGGGGTGCTACTTTCTGTGTACCTGTGAGTATAAGGAGGACTAAACCAACAAGACTGTGATTGGAGAGCTGTGCAGGAGGCATCTCAGCTATTGTTGCATTTAATTGGGTAGCAAGTGCACTGCAGATGCCACCTTAATGTTCTGTGTTTGTTGGATACAAATATTTGAAGGAAATAACATCACAACATCAGTTTACAGAGATAGGACAGAAATGGTTGTGTCTTATCCAGAAAGACACAAGTGAGATATTACTTTGCACTTTCAGTGTTCATTCCCACTGTTCTTTATCACAAAATGCTGTTCTGATTGAAAGTGATTAATACATTCATGAGATTTCAGGTCTGAAGGGACCTTTCTGACCACCTACCCTGACCCTAGAACTACCCCATCAGGCTGGGGACAAATGGGATCGAAATGTGGGTTATTGCACTGCACTTAATCGACTTCACAATTGTGGTTTTAATGTGAAGGGAAAATAGGTTTTCCTCCTTGGTTTCATAGATAAAAAAAGTCTTTTATCAGACTGTAAAAAAACCCCCCACAAATTACTCTTCCTCAATCCATGAAGAGTGAGCAAATGGGCTGCTGCTCAGATATTGTTTGGAGCAAACTGAACCATGGTTTCAGCCATCAAGAAAATCTAGTGTTTAATATGGTTCTGGGATCAACTTCAATCTCCAAGGATCTGTGTGGATTCCACTTCATCACTGAAGTGTCACAGGCAGGGTTGCACTGGAGTGAAAGGAGGAATGGACTGAATATCCAAGGAACATCCATTACCACTTCCACATTGTTTTTTTACACGAATCCCAATTTTTTTCACTCAAGCATTCAGCATGAAGATGCTTAGTACAGGGGTGGAGGATGGCTAAGCTGAAATGACCCATGTTTTGGAGGTGCTGTGGAGCATAAAACACAATGCCAGGAGCAGGTACAAGTGCAAAGGTTCTTCTGAACGTAACAATGGACCAAGGAACTGAATTAGCAACCAGAAAACTTGCAGCTTTAATTAAACACTTTCTTAAATTTCTTAAGACATTTCCTGTTTAAATTCAGTCACAAATGTATTTCTTCAGGTTAAATAACACTCATGCTGGACGCATCACCTCTGTTTTCTGTCAGATGAATTTTGCAGTGGCTAAGGCATTATGTTCCAAGGAGGAAGTAATGGGAATCTGTCACTCGTCATGCTGTGACATGCTGTGAATAGAAGACAAACCAAATGGCATGAGAATATTTGTTTCTTCATTGCGCTTTGCAGTCAGCAAAGCAATTCCTATTGTATTTTAAGGATGTCTTATCATTAGTATTACAATACACTTCTAATGGATCCTATATATAAACTAGTGGAAGACAATATGTTTTGCAGAGCTTTTAATCTGTGTAGACAAGAAAAGGAATAAGAAGCTGATATGGAGATAGGAGAGGTCAGGCTCGCAAAGTCTTGTGTTGAGAGGAGAATATCCTGACGGACCTTGTGTCACCCTCTCCTAGTTTTGCCTGCAGTATTAAAATCTGCTGGAAGACTGAAATTGAGTTTAAAAATAATTGTGCTGAATGTGCTCGTGTATTATTAGAAGACTTTCTTATTTTTGATGCAAATAGCATTATTCTACATTATAGAAGAGTAGAGGAAGAAGGATTACAGTTGTTCTCAGCTGTTGTCAGTGCACTTGGAACCTTTCAGGGAGTGTGACAAGCTGTGTACTACATCACACACAGTGCTGAAACCAATTTGTATGTCAAGCTGTGTGTCCTCCTTCTGTGCTAGTATTTCACACAGGGGGAAGCAGGTGAACATCATGCATTGAACCTTAAAGAGAATGTCTGCCACACGAATTGGCCTTCATTTGAATCAAAGAAGAACAGAAAAAGCGTAGGTGTTGAAAACAAAGGGCATCTGTTGGTCCCCAAACAGAAGAGCTCTAGTTGTAGCATGTACAATGTTGCATTTGGTCTGTATGACCACAGAATCGAGAAGTTGAATTTTAGCCCCCCAAATTTAAGCTTTTTCTGCTTCTTGAAGATGAAGGTGTGGATTCCATTTGGTAACTGGACCTGATTCAAACCAGGAGGAAGCTGCTTAAGACTTTTCTGTATTTTCAATGGAATAAGACTGTTTTTAAAGTGCAGTGATTCGAATTCATAAGAAACAGTCACTTTGTGATATTTCATTGATCAACCTTCTCCCTTGAGAATCTGAACAGTTAACATTTCCATGGTGTTGTACAATTCATATCTCACTTCACGGTGTCCCCTCAAACAGCTGCAGATGCTATTTCTGTTTTACCTTTTCATTTGAACTGGAAATGTTTCAGTCATTTTCCGACTGTTCTGCGCTCTTCGTTGGCAAAACCATTTACAGGCAACAGTGATCAAATGCACATGTTACAGCTGAGCCTGGCTATTTTAATGGATGTGTTTGTCATTTTCCTTTTACCCTCAGCTTTATATTCAGGCCAGGCGCCCTGAGAATCTGACCTTATCCATTGCCAGAGCAGCATACCACTCCCACCCCTTGCAGTTGCAAGGCGTGAACAGAGGAGCGCCGTACCAGCAATACCAGCCGGTCGTCATGCTGGAGCAGGCTTACATCATCCAGTGGGATGGCAGAGCGCCTGAGGATATCATCCTGTACCCAATCAACTTCAACAGGTACTGCCCTATGTTGTTAGAAAACGTTCTGTTTTAAAAGTTCTGGTGTTATGCGATTTTCCTGGGTTCTTTGCAACTGACCCTTCGAATGTTTTAGCAATTTGTGAGAGCACCGAATTGAGGTGTTAATGACTGGCACTTACCAATGTAAAGAATTGCCTCTGCTTTTTCGTTATTCCAACACTTTTGATGTACAGAGCTGTTTCTCTTTCCAGTAAGTTTTGAAACAGAATCCAAGTAAGTCCTGGCCTGCTGTCCCTGAAATCCCTCCAGAAGAGCCCTGGCTCTTGTTCGTTTGTTTGTACTAGTTGCACATAATTTATTTCCCATATATATAAAATGCAGAAGTCATCACAGAAGTCCATCAGAATGTGCACAGAGCATTGCATCTTCTGTAATCTAAATAGCACTGCAATCACTGTTTCTTTCTTGATAGCATTTTAAAACTTTAGGATTCAGTACAACAAAATTGTAGGCTGTGCTCTATTTATTTTCCATGTTTCTTCCATCTCATCTAGTGTTCCGTAAAAGCAAGGCACAGCCAATTTAGACCTGCCTTTTCCCCTTGCAATCTATTTCATTTTATATAATTTCTTTCATGGTTTCCAGTCGTGGTTCAGGACCAGCGTACCTCTCACTTTAGTGAAATTACTTGTGTTTTGCACTGGTATAACTTCTAGGAGAATCCTCTAATCCATTTGGTTTAACTGTGATGTATGTTGCCATGGCTGGGAAGAACTGCTGCAAGAGATGAGAACCACACCAAAAAATTCTCTGGCCATTGTCTTGGGCTCTGCAGTTTCCGTGGCTCCTCAGTTTACTGATAACAAGGCAGTACAGGAAAAGGGCCACATTATACATGACTGCAAGCAACCAAGCCACATGAAGGCTCATATTTGCAAAGTAGACATTAAATAATTGACATAGAAAAAGTCAGATGCACAGAGGACATGGAGAAACATGTACCATTGGTAAATGGGGAGGATTTCCAAGTCTGTCCCATATTATCCACCAAACCCTACACCTGTTGTCTGCTTCTTGAGCAGGGTGTCACTGCCATAGTTTTAGTTTAGGAAAGTTTTGGTAAAAGCTTGAAAAAATGTGAACATTGGAGCTCAAGAAATTTGGGGAAAACCCTATTTGTATTTCCAGTCATGAAGCCTCATTTCCAAAGCCTCACATCCAAAGACAATGTTCCCTCTTTGTATATCCCCACTTTTGGTAAGTGATGTGTAATGGGTCCTCTTTGGATTTAAAGATTAAATGGCTGTAGGATCATGACCAAGTCCCTGGACAATCACTGCTTGGACATTCCTGTCACAGAGGGATGACTAGAACTAAAACACTCTTTTCTGTGTTAATGTAACTTCATGCATTTTAAGGAAGTGCAAAACCCATTAGTCACTCATGGATAAGCTGGTTTGTAATTATTATCTGTCTTTAAATAATTAGCTATTTCCTTGCAATTAAGAGTTAAGCCTTCTGCATCAATATACAATGGTTACCCAATCACTATGCCAGTTAGTACATGCCAAAGCTTTGGCAAGTACTTGGTCTTCAATCACAAATTCAAATCTTAAGGCAGCACTGTGTGTTTGATAGAACTCAGCTTTAAGCTTAGCCCTTGTTCAAGCAGCAACTTACCTAACTTTTACTATTGATAACCACAATGTGTTTGTGGTTCTCTTTGTCTTGTGTGAAACCAATTAAGTTATTTGAACGGGGCAAAGGTTTGTAGACTTTTCTGATTCAGAAACAGCTGGCAAGGTGTGTGCTTTGAAAAACTAAAGGAGGGAAATATATCATAATAAGGAAAAAAATGTAATTTTACTTTCTAATTTTACTTAATTCCACTACGAGATACTGACTTAATAGATAGGAATTAGAAGAGAGCACTGACCATGGTGAAGGGATTAGAAAACAAGTGTTATGAGGGGTAACTCACTGGGTAGTAGGAGTAGTAACTGGGGCTATTTATTCCAGAACAGAGAAGGCTGAGGGAGAACATCACTGCTCCCTACAGCTTCCTGAAAAGAGGACAACTCCTGCAGTGAGGAGGTGTCAGGCTCTTTTTTCAGATGACATAAGATAGGATGCAAAGAAATGGCCTCAAGTTGCTCCAGGGGAGGTTTACATTGGATATCTGGAAGAATCCTCTTCATAGAGATGGTGGTTAGAGGTTGGAATAGGCTGCCCATGGAGGTGGTGGAGACACTACCTCCCTGAGGCTTAGTGGTGGATGTGGTTATGTTAGTTTGATGGTTAGTGATCTTACAGTTCTTTTCCAACCTAAATGTTGAGATGATTCTATGATTTAAAGCATCTTGCAAAGAAATAGTTGAGAATGAAATCATGTCACTACTGTGTGTCTTAAGGGTAATGGAACAGCAATGGTGAAATGTCCATACTTCATGCAACAACATAGGCAGAAGTCATTCCCATGGAAGCAAGTGAAGTAAAAAACAAGGTTTAGGAGCTTGAAGGAAATCAAATGCTTACTTAAGCAGTTCCGAGTATGACATTTGTTAAAAAGTGTTTCTAATCATTTTTTGAAAGGAAGAAATCTCAAATTGTGAAGCAGAGTAATCAGAGGCAGAAAATCCAGAAAAAGAGGGAAATTTTTTGCCTGTTTCAAATGGCTCTTTGCTGACTGTTCTTTTGCATTCTAAAATACTGAATAATCTGCCAAAAATGAGCTCTTAACATAGTTATATCCGTGGAAAACATATGTGATGCAAAAGAAAATATGTTTGAGGAATTTTACTAGTGAAACTTTGCAATCATTAATTTCAGACATAGCTTTACCAAACAACCTAACTATTTTTAGACTTGTCATTGTAAAATGATGGATAGGTACATCCAGGATGCTGCCTTCACAGCTGGATAGCCCTCATGCTTCTGGAAGGACTTTCTGTGCAGGCTGAAGGAAGGTCAGAGGGGAAATAAGGAATTTGACAGGAAGATGTGTACCAGGATTTGGACCTCTTTGGAGGTCAGGCATGCGGCTGATGTTGGATATTTGTGCCATTAACATTTTCAGTGTTTCTGAAGTGCTGTAAAAAGAGCTGATGAAAGCAATTCCAGTTTAAATGTTTACTAAAAGACTGGAACACCAAGATTCCTGGTGTGGGCAGGAGGTAGGGATGCACTCACAAGGTTGAGCTGAAAGTGGCAGTGCTGCTTTCTGCACCTGTGTGTCCAACCTGGGGAGTCCAGGAACTGCTCAACTATTTGCTCAGTGAAGGAGGACAACTTCTTTCTGCAGTGGCACGTGTTGGGTTGCTGCAGTACATGTGTCTTCTGTGCACGGATTCAAGACATGTTTAGAGTACTTGTAGATTTTCAAGCACAAAGTGTGAGAGCTTCATGAACAGTGGCCTCAAACTTCTCCTTCATGAGTTTCATCTTCTTTCAGGAGCAATACCCACCTCCTCAGAGCTGCTTTTGTGTTTTCTCTGTTCTTGTGCTTCATAGAAAGATGGGAACCAGCTGTTGAGTTGAGGGCTGTGCTCAAAACTGCTGTCTATTTCTAGAAGCACAAAGGCCCGCAGAGAGCATCAGGATTGTTAAGAGAGGAGGGTGAGGCTGGTATGGCAGGAGGAGCGCCTGGAGAACATTATTTGCTTGCAAGTAAGTGCCTCCTTTCAGGTGCTGGAAAACAGTAAGAGGACTGGCTCTTCATAGGGTAGGAAAAGTCACAAACAAAGTCCTCCATTTAATGACACAGGCTTTGTGTGTGTGTGCAAATTCTCCAATCAAAGAAGAGGCTAAAGCAAATACTATTATCAAAGGCACATTGCTGTTCGATAAATCAGCCAGGCTTATTTGTGTTATCAGCTAATCTAAAGATAAGAATTAAATCTCTCCAAAGCCCATATGTGCAGTATAGTGTAATGAGTTGTGTTGTTTAAGCAGGATGAAAAGTATAGGCAATTAAATTAAACATTCCTTGTTTTTTATGAGCACAGGCAAATATCTCTATACTTGGTCTGCTAAGACTCAGAAGGAAGAGTTTTTCCTTATTAGGGCTCTCTGCTGTGATTTGACATTTCAGGAAGATGTGAGCAGGTACAAAGGAGGTATCACTTTTTTATAGGTGAACTGCAACAGTGCTGCAAGCAGGGTTAGGGTTAGTACAGGGCTGCCCAGCTGCCCTAGCCAATGCTGGCCCCAGGGAAAAGTTCAAGGAGCTTTCCCCATGTCGCCTTTACCAGCACCCTCTCAGTGTCCCCTGGAGAGATACAATGAGTCTTGTAACACTCACATTTTGTGCCTTGTTGCAGGACTTGGATCCTTATGAGAGCTTTTCCTAAGATTTATTTGGCAGCAAAGAGCCAAGTCTCTTGTCAAGAGCAAATGAAAGAGCAGATGTCCATGTGTGTGCTTGGGCACATGTCCAGCCTTTCCCTTGCTGTGGTATTTGTGCAGGGATGACACAGGTGCATGGTGATATCCCTGTGTTTGCTAGGCTGACATTCTGCACTATGGCTTGTTATCGTGTTCACAAGCAAATAATCTAATTATCCAAAAATTCAAGAGGCTGGAATGAGCTTGTGTCTAAATTTTGGATTAAAAAGCGTGGGGACCTGGGGCTCTGCGTGATGTGTGGTTTCCAAGATGCTGTCATCCATTCAAAGGTGGAGGTTTCACTGCAGGCAGACAACTTACACAGCCCATGTCTGCACTGAAACTCCAGGGGACTGGTTATATTTGTCTTTTTTCAGGGCTGTGTAGATGGGTGTTTTCCCTATGGTTTCTTATTCATTGCCAGTCTGATTCATACTTTCAGCTACTTGTCATTTTTGTGATTAAATTCTTTAGCGATGATAGAGTTTTTTAGGAAAACAAAGATAATGAGACAAGGCTAGAACATACTTGCTTCAGATTTGCCCAGTTCATGGATATTTCCTAAACTGTTCCTTTTTCAGATTAGTTCCAAATGTGCTTTTCCTTGTGATTTGCAGATTGACAAGTGGATAGGAAGATGAAATTAGTATTTC